ATTTTACCCAAGTATAACAAGTATTAACCATAGAGCAGACCTGGCTGGTGTGGTTCAGTGGTCTGAGCGTGGAACTGAAATGTTGCTGGTTCAATTCCCAGTCAGGGCACATGTGTGACTTGCAGGCCTGGCCCCCTGTTGGGGGGATGTGAGAGGCAACTGATTGATGTTTCTCTTACACATCAGCGTTTCTCTCCCTCCCTTCCCGTCTCTCTAAAAATAAATAAAAACCGGGGGTGGGGAGAAAATGCAGACACCTGTAATTGAACAATAAAGTAATAAAATAAATAAATAAAAATCTCTGAAACACCTTGCTTAGTTCGAGTATGGCTAAGAGCAGTTTTACTAATATAACTCATATAAGGTAATTTAAATATTTTCCTTGTTGGCTATTGTTTTGGCAGTCATTGCAATACCTGCCCAGCGGAAAAAATCTGGTGCATTTCTCCAAGGTGACATCACCAGGCACTGAACATCCTTGACTCTGTGTCTACCTACTTGTACAAGTATGTGTACAACTCGTTCTTACTGATCACTCCGCTACCTCACGTGGTACCAAAAAGGAGCACAGTATGTTTCAACTATTGTGTGTTGCAGAGGGGCAGGGAATTGGGTTTATTCAAGTAGATTGGAAACTGAGATCAGAAATTGGTATAGTCCCCAACAGAAGGCTGGAAACAGTTTCTCACCACACTCTTAGGCTGCCTCAGACTTCACTTAATTTCCTTCAGGAGGGTAGGTGTGATTTTAGTTTGGCAAACAACTGATACAGGAAAAAGACTAGAGTCACAAAACCTGAGTATGAATCTGCAATGTACCACTTACTATGTGACTTTGGACACTTTATTTAACCTCCCTGAGTTTCCAGCTCCCTCAACTTCAAGGAAATACCACCCTCCTCAAAAGGCTGCTGTGATGAGAGGCTTCTGTTTATAAAGCAGCCAGTGAAGAGGCCGGCATATAGTATTTGCTCAGTCAGTGTGACCTCCCTTTCTAACTGGCTGCCTGTGCAGTCCTACACGGCCGTCAATATTGTCTGATGACAATCCATTAAGTGTGAACACAGGATGGTGCAAACATCTTCGTGCCTCTCGGCACAAGAACAGGCAAACACCAATTCTCCCTTTCCACTGTTTTTTATTTGCACATTTAACATTCACAAATAATTTTACAGATTTACTCTTTTCACAGATTCATTATTTACAGGGAAGATCAGGATTAAAATGGAGCATTGGATGGTTCCAAAAAATTACCAGCAGGAGGGATGGCGCAGAGTATAAAGGCAAAAAGAACAGAGTGGACAAGAGCAGTGTGTGGCCACTTCCTACCAGGCAGGAACCCTGACTTCCTTAAGGCAAAGCCTTTCCTCTGTTATTTCTTCCCCCCACCTAGTTTAACCCAAATAAAAAGGCATTCTATTCTCACACAACTGCTGAGGCCTTAGGAATATAACCGTTACCGTAAGCAACCAGATGCATCCCTGGACTATAAACACCTGAAAAGGCAAGTTAAATTTTGATACATTAATGATCCTTCTGGGAGAATTAAGAAGAGGCAGAAGTTATTTTATCCTTGAGACTTTAAAAGAAAAAGGGGAGGGGTACATGTGTGTGGTGATGGAAGTGGAGGGGAGAGAAAAGGGGTTGGAGGAGGGATGAGGGCGTCAAAGCCAACGCTCCCAATGTACACTGCTCTTGTTCCTCTGATGCTGCTAATATAGTGTTCTAGTACACTCAGGGAGAAAGACTGAGTGTTGTTTATGTTCGGTTGTAATGGCTAATAACAGGGAACTTGCCCTGGGGAGGTGGTGTATTCGTTTCATGCACATAATAATGCAACTCAAAATTGTGCCCTACTATGCTCTCATCCTAATGTGTTTTTTCCTATTTTAAACCAATTGACTACAGGACCTTGGGGAATTTACTTATTAACTTTTCTGTGCCTCAATTTTCTACTTGTAAGATGAGAATTGTAGAGCTTTATGTTGAGGATTAGAGATGCATGAAAAGCACTTCAGAATAGTGCCTGGCCAAATCAACAGAGCCAGAAAGCAGACTGCTGGTTGCCAGGGGCTTGGAGAAGGGGGACAGGGAATGACTGCTAATGGGTAGGGGGTTTCTTTGTGGAGTGATAAAAGTGTTCTAAAGTGAGAGTGGGGTGATGGCTGCACAATTATGTGACTATACTGGAAAAAAAATCACTGACTTGTACATCGCTTTAAAAGGGTGAATTTTATGGTTAAGGTATCTCAATAAAGCTATAAAAAATTCTTAAAAAAATAGAATAGTGCCTGGCACACAGTAAGTGCCCAATAAATGTCAGCTATTATTAGTAGTAATATTGTTGTCATTAATAGTCAGCCATCTATGGCCTAAGTAAATCCCTAAAAATTCTTTATTTTTAATAAAAGTCCACAGAATCTAAAAAAGTATTTCTAGTTTACATACATGGATTAACATTCAGACATCTAAATTGCCTCAGAAAGTAACAGTCTGAGAATCACAATTTCGGTATTTTGCTCTGGAATACTACAGCTGCATGCAGTGGACATCTGAGCATATCATCGTAGGTTTTAGATAAATCCCAATGACTTGATGTTACTCAAAATTCTGAAATGACAGGAAGTTTTCATTTTGCTCTCTAGGAGTAAACAGGAAGTCCAGGTAAAGAGAATATATAAAGTACATAGTTAAGTCTTCACAAATACAGGCTTGCTAGCCTTCTAATCACATTTTAGGGGCACTTTATAAAAAGACAAATGTAGTCAACAGTAAAATGCGTCTGGTCCTGTGCCCTGTGACCCCCACCTTGTCCAACAACAGAAAACCCCAACACAATGAAAAGACCCAATTCAACCCATATTATAAGCCTCTTACGAGGTAAAAAACTTCACAATGAATGACTGACTCATAAAACTACACTGCATATTCAAATATGTTCGCAATTGAGTTTATAATCTGGACAGAGATTAAATCCACTCTTCACCTTTCCTATTGCTAAAGAATATAACAAAGGAGTCTCAATCTCAGAAGTAGGAGCAGCAAGTGATAAGCCACGATGGCAGTGATGCACCGCATTCAGCAATGATGCCCGCATGCTTGAATTTCATCTGAAGTATGAAACTTCCCAGTTCCTGGAACAGGGCTGGCTTTGTTGGAGTGCCCGTCCCTTCTAGTCCTCCGTTCTATAATAAGCCATGTGCCTTTGCAGCAAATCAGGGATAGCTGTGTTGAGGGTTACGGCTTCCATGTACTCAGGTCTTCTGTCACAGAAGGCAATGCACTTGTTGCATATAATAAGAAAACATGTATACCCTCAAACTGACTACAAGTTCTCGAAAAGATCATTCAATTTCCATTTACCGCCTTCATTTAAATCAAGTAAAACCATTCCCTAAGTCATACAAGAGCAACAGATCAATACACAGAACAAGATGCCTTCATACCCACTATGTATAATGCCCTCCCAGACATGCACACTCAAACTCCCCTTGGAGTTGTGACCTTAGGAATTTCTGACCAAGTATTTCGCCTGCATAAAATTCAGTAAACACTTCCCTTTTGAGAAGCATGGTTATTTCTTTAATTGTACATTATAATCACTGGGACAGATTATACACCAACTTTGGAAGATCTTTTTACTTGCTATTGGAAAATTTCAGACAATGGATATGGATGATACTCTAGGACTAGTTTCAAAATTAGGACCAGTTTCAAAATATTTTCCTTACCAATTCAATACTAAAGCAGTGGCTTAGTCTTCACACAGTTTATTTTAAAATCTAAAAGGGAATTAGAAATAAAAGTATATAACTGAAAACTGTGGCCAAGGCTGGGACAGAGGGGGCCAACTCTGTAATGCTTTTGTAGTTGAATATCATTCTAAAAACACAACTGTCCAAGTACCGTTCACTCGGTTAATCCGGGGATACAGACAATGTGTTTTTAAAATTATAGATCTATGTGTAGGTAGTCTTTAAATACAAACTGAATAAATATTTAAATTCTATGACAAAGCAAAATTGTGGAATAAGAAATTCCTATCTTTCTAAGTACACGTATATTTACAATAAATGTTTCCTGCCTGACTGCTAGTCTTTGCCTATTAAGAGTTCTTCAATGTGCAATTTATAGAAGGCAGCAGCTCATACCACGTTAAAGGAGCCCTGCTGAGCTCAGAGTCAGCCTGCCCCAGACACTCCTCTCCCTGAAAAGCCTACACACTTATGTGCATAAATAGCTGAGAATACGAGTAGGTGCACATGTGCAAAAAAGTACTTGTCTAAAGGAGAGCTAATTAGCTTTACAAATCAAGTGTAGAACCAAGACAATAAATTGCTATTCCCCGACCCAAGAACATCTAACGAAGAAACTGCTGCGCCCACTATGAGCAGGCGGCAGCTCGAAAGCCACCTCATCCTACATCGTGCTCTAAGCATCCAGCTGCTGGGAATCAGCCGTGAGAACACTAAATCACTCCCTGTTCGCATGGTTAGATGCAGGGTTGTGATTTAGCTTGACTTCCTAGTTACTGGCCACGGTATACAGAATAATGAAGAATTCCTTATAGTTACCCTATATTCAAACGGCCTCATTCTACCTTTAAGGGAATGTACCCACATGACAAATATGCCTTAGGGACCCACCAATGGACATTTCGGAGGTGGTCTACTTGGATAAGTTCAAACACTGGACCGCCGAGAGTGTTGGTCAAAGGAAAAGTACACGTGGCCGCTTGCACACCCGAGTCAGGGTGTAAGATCAAAACTAGAGTGTCACTGAAGTGCTGTTAAGCACGGCAGTTAGGTGACCATACAGAAAGATTAAAGAAGCTGATTCTTCAAATGTCGTTTGCTTTTTTTAAAGCAACAAGTGCAGAATTTTCTATGACCCAAATCTGAATACTGGTTAGTGCATGTTCTCTCCTCCCACATCTATGAACCCCCTGGCAACCTCTGCCATTGCCTTTTTAAAGTTCGGAGAGAAATAAAAGAAAATGGATACACACTATCCATTCTTATTTATTCTAATGAGAGAGGCATATTCTAATAGTCATAAGGCAATGTGTTTAAGAGCTATACCTGAACTGGTATTCTAAATTGGAAATACAGTTACCAAATCTATTCAACTTGCAGGATGTACCCATGTGCTTTCCGTGTCATTGGCTGTCACCCTAATGGACCACAGTGATCACTATCACACCTTAAGAAGGCATTACACCAGGTGTACTATGCACATGTATTTTAAAGAAATAACATTAAGAGGAAAAGAACATCCTTTCAAACATCAGTTCCTTACATGAGTGGCAATAGTTCTTTATGGCTCCCTTGTAATCTCCTCACACAGCCAGTTACCAAATGCCTCCAAAATTAGAACAGGGCCAGAGGCAAAGCGCCGTGGTGAATTGCATTGTTCAGATGAGCTTTCAATCCATTGGTTTTTCATTTCCATTTTCCGATTTACTAAGGAGTAAAGGTGAGAATCATCCAACTGATGACAAAATAGAATAAGAAAACAGGATAAACAGCAAGTGCTTTGCGGTTTGGAGGCTGGCTGTCAGCAAGAAAAGCTGTAGAGGCTGAAAAGAAAAGAAAAGAAAAGAAAACCAATCAAAAGAGAATACTGAATACAATGAGACTGTCATAACTACTAACATTTACTAACTTCAATGTGCTCAGCACAGTCTAGAACAGAATTATACTAAAAGTTCACTGATATTTGCAGCCCTTAGAGAAAAAGGTTCTGGGCAGCACAGGTTTTCCGACAGCTGAGGCTGCCTGTTTCACGCACCAAAGCTTTCAAAGCCTTGCACATTTCAGATGGAAACCCTTCTAAAAGGGGCTTCTTACTGTTTTCTGAGAAGTGAGTGAACTACAATGAACAGGTTTGCAAAAATGTGCCAGGTTTTTGCTACTATGCCAAATGGCCTTATCCTGCCGTGCTGCCTGAGTAACCGTTCTTCAACTCTTTTTGATGCCATCCCTCTTGTCCACCCAGGAAACACCTATCAATGATCACCCTGCAAACAAACCTTTCCCGAACAACTGGCTAGGATCCTGTCACTGCAGACAGCACTCCCTCCTCTGTGTCCCTATGTGACCTGCACAGACTTCTGTCTCCCACCGGGAACACTTACTTTATTGTCCTGACGTGTTTACATGTCTGGCCGACCCACTGGATTGTGAACTCTGAGGATCTGAGGACAAAGACTATGCCCAGCACACTGCTTGATGCATAGTTTGTGCTTAATAATATTTGCCAAATTAAAGAATGAATGCTTCTAAGATGCTACTTTCTGAACTGCTATGGGCCTGGATACTGGATAACTACGCTATTCAGAACTACATGGGTGATAAATGATCAGACTCTAAGGGAGGAAATGTGGGGCTCTCCCTTGGGTAAAGAAACCAAGCTTAGTCTGCATACAGTCTTTGGAATATCAATTCTGGCACTGTCAGACCTCTTTCTGGATTACTCCCTGGCTCTTAACCACGTTTCAAGCAAAGAGATGTTACTGCACTAAAAATATGAGGCCGTCTGTTTCTCCCATTTAATAAGATGCTAGTGAACACTTCTAGTTTAAGTTAGAATTGTAAGAGAATTTTAGGGATATAAGAACAATGAGCACACAGCATTCAAAGCCACTTCTATTGGCTCTTCCTAATCTTTAGCACAATTTTCCACTGAAGCAGGAAAGCACTATATAATGATACTTAACCAATTATACTGGGGGTAGTACAGTCAAGTTCCAAATGGGTATGTGATTTGCCTGGGTTGGAAACTTGATTCCCCTATTGAGTAGTAATACGTCCTAAGGCAAGTTGCTTCACCTCTCTGTGTCTGTTCCTCATCTACAAAAATGGGACTATTAATAATAGCTTTTATTTATTAGTGTTGAGGTTTAAATGAGATAATACGTATATCGTGCTTGACCTATGATACACAATCTATAAATGCAACTATTGTTTTCATTCTGATTACTTTGTCAGGAAAAGACCCATTATCTCTCAAGTCACCTATGCCTCCTATATAAGCCAGGGCTGAGCTAGACCCAGTATAATCTCCTTTTCCAACTGTTCGCATTATTTAAGGATTTTTTTTTTAAAAAGATATGACCCCACATGTTAGAAGTCCAGATACCCAACTCAGATTAGATGGACACATCTATCAATCCCACTTAGAACAGAGGGTTCCATGGGCAACACTGGCAAGAATCACATTACTGACATGTGAGTTAGGAGTTACACTGCTTCTCATGTGGTCTTCGTCTCTAACACACGCTTTTGTCTGCTCTGTAATTGTAAAGATCAGTATGTTCTTACCTACTATAGACCAGGCAAACATCACGATCACCACAAAAAGCCGGACCACAAAACTTATCGGTCCTAGCTTGACCAAGAGTACCAGCCGGCAAACCATCATTGCCACTGTCAAGGGAAGTATACAGTAACCCAGCACACACAGGCTCTGAAAAAAAGAACTAAGAAACAATACACATCTGTAAAAATCATAAATACAGCTGACCCATGTCACAGTAGTTATTATACAGATTTCTATGTATCATGGATTGTTACTTCCCTCCAGATACATAAGACATATACCCCAACACTGATTTTATGAGGCTGGGCCTCTGCATTAGACATGCTTTAATTCTTCTATCCTTGCTCTTGTTTTTCTCCTTTTATATTCCTTAAGAGTCGGCCATCTGACCCTGGGTGGCATGGTACAGTAGATTTGAGTGCCGGCCTGTGAGCCAAAGGGTCGCCAGTTCGATTCCCAGTCACGGCACATGCCTGTCTTGTGGGCCACATCCCCAGTGGGGGGAAGGTTGTGACAGGCAACCACACATTGATGTTTGTCTCCCTTTCTTTTTCCCTCTCTTTCTCTAAAAATAAATCAATAAAATCTCTCAAAAAAAGTCAGCCAACTAAGATACCAGGTGATCTACTCTAATTACTAAAGACCTCTTTCTCCCACTGAACCTCTAAGATAGTGGTTCTTTTTTTAAGATGGTATTTATTTTTAGAGAGAGGGGAAGCGAGGGAGAAAGAGAGGGAGAGCAACATTGCCTCTCACACGCCTGCATCCGGGGATCCGGCTTGCCACTCACACATGTGCCTGGACCAAGAATTAAACCAGCAACTTTTCAGTTTATGGGACAATGCCCAACCCACTGAGCCAGACCAATCAGGGCTAAGACAGGGTTTCTTTATCTTTTCTAGTTTATATACCTATTTGAGAATTTGTTGAAAGCTATGGACCATCTGTTCCCCAAAATGGACATAACCCTCTAACACAAAACATTGTGCCTACGATTCCAGGGCTGGAGAGAGCATCTGAAGCTTATCAAAGGACCCCAGATAATTTAAGATAACTTAACTAAACCAGCTTAATCTCTGTTCAGTAGTTTTATTTTTTAAAGAGTGTATTTATTTATTCTTAGAGAGGGGGGAAGGCAGGGAGAAAGACAGGTAGATATACATTGATGTCTAAGAGACCAGGGACCGGCCCACAGCCCAGACATGTGCCCCGACCAGGAATGGAACCAGCAACCTTTTGCTTTTCAGGATGACACTGAGCCCACTGAGCCATACCAGTCAGGACTCAGTGGGTTTAAGAGAATATTCTCTTTATCCTTCATTTATTTTGATTTTTCTTTTAAAAAATTAGTTAACTAGCCAGGCTCCCTTAAAAATCTAAGCTACGCTACCTAGCAAATGAAAACAAATGGCGTCTAATAATACTCACATGTTTCCCCCAAGAAGTTTCGAGTTGAGGGTGATGGTAACTGCACCAAACCAGATAATGACGAACACTTCTGCAAACTGGGGCCCGCCATCATTTTCGCTGTCTGCAGAGCCTCCCTGAAGCATTCTGTGACAAGAAATGGCATGAGAATTGCCTACTCTTTTACTTCGAGCAATAAAGTGAAGGTGTGGATTCCCAAAGTCTGAATCAGGGAGCTGCCCTATACCTCACCTGAAGATCTTGTAACATGTAGGCTATGCAAATGGAAAATTCCAGAAGGATTTGGCAAGGCTCCCTTCTGTCAAATTCCAAATACCTCAGGAGTACAAGGGGTGCTCCACTTGCCTTTGTTGGAATGCTTAAGTGGATTAACTAAAGACCTTTTTTGGTTAAGCAGAGCTTACAAATTGAAAGGTCAAATGTGGCTCATAGATATGAGGTTGTTGTTCCACACAATACTCAAAATGGTTTTAAATTCAAGCTGACATTTTTAAAATGGAGAGGTTTCACATAAAAAATGATGGATATTCTTTCAAAATGAGCAGCGTTTCCAACACTGTGCTGGCATCACTACACTGCGACAATCAGGCGCAGTGGACAGAGCAGCCGGTTCCTTAGCAAGGGGCTTCCAGTCAGCAATCCGCCATGCGTGCATTCAAGTCCCTTCTCTAGCCCTCGGACACATTTCAATGTGTAACCCCTTGGGTAAAGGTTCTAGTTCTGACATTTAAAAATGGAAATAGTCTATAAACCTATTTAGTTGATGATTTTTTAAATAGAAATATACAGATTATTACTAAAAGCCTTTGCTTTCAAATTAAGTTGAAGTCACTTAAATAGCTTTTCTTTGTGTAAGAATTTTTCAGATGTAAAATGTCTCATAGAACACTTGGAACCAGTGTTATTTATTTATTTTTTTTTCCAGAAAAATAATACGTAACATCAAGCTCACAACCTCCTATGACATAGTATAGAGAGATCACAGAGTAAGCCTTGCCCTGCCGTGCTGTTTGCCAGTACAGCCTTTTGTATTCTATGGCTCCATTCGGAGTCCTGACAATCTGATGCACGGAATGCCAGCACTTATCCTCACATGTTGCTGGAAGCCCTATTACTTCAGCATCGTATAATGAAAGAAAGAATAACTAGCCTGAAAGGCAGAAGAGCCAGATACCAATCCTAGTGCTGTCACTAGATATGTAAACTGGAGCACATCACTTGATGTCTCGGGACTCCAGTTTTCTTCTCTGCAAATAAGTGGAGTTTAATGACATAACTTCTAGGGTTAATCTTTCCAAACTTAAAAAAAGGTATATGCTTACAGCTTCTGAGAGAAACCCTTCCATCAAGGCACTGAATTCTTTCTTTCTTATGGTTATTAAAGGCATAAAAATAGCACTCAATGTTATTACCTAAATTAGCGTATGCTTGACACGTTAAAAAATGGGTAGAGAAGCCAGTAAGAAGCTTGTTGAATTTAGCATCACAAAAGGTTAGTACTGGAAAAGACCATCAGCCATCTCTTTTCATAGATACAGAAGAGAAAACCCAGAGAGGTGAGGCAGCAGGAGATGGGTAATATTCACAGAGGTAGAGAAAGGGCAGGCAAGGAAACCTGAGGTTGCCTCCCAGGTTTACCACTGATTATGTGCTCTTCGTTCATCCTCAATTTCTATGAACCTAAGGTTTTTTGTGGAAAAGTGAAAATGACATTCACTTCATGCTATAAGGATAAAATAAGGGAAGGTATTTAAGTTTTCTGTAACTGGGAAAAGTCATTAGACAAATTTTGGTTATTAATAGCCCGAAGTCACTTTGCTGATAGCAATCAGGATAAGAATCAAGAGCTGAATCCTAATGCAATATTTTTTCCACTCCACCAATCGTGATATTCCCCTCACCAGTGGAACTTGGTTCTTCTTCTGCCCTGTCCCTTTACATTCAACGCATATGGAAAGCAAAGCACTTGGAAAACATGATCTTGCTTTGAACTCCACCACTTCTCTTTTGTATGTTCTCATTCTCATTCATATTTTGGTAAGATTTAAAAAGAATTCTGTTTGCAAATAAACAGTGCTTAAACCACAGATATTTAATTCACTTAGTGATGGGGAAGTGTATATAGTACATAAAAGTTTGTTGAATAGAAATGACAAAAACAGGCTAAGAAGTCACTGGTAGATGGAGGTAGGCATGATTTTTACATCTTTAATTCCATCACTCTTTGAACTGACCTGGAAAGCTATCTGACTTTTTAGATTTAAATTCATAAGGAGTACAATATGTCACAGAAGCCCTAAATAAAATATTCAGTCAAAATTCCCCTCAATTTTAAAACTCCACAAAAAACTCTAGTCCAGGGGTGTCCAACCTTTTGGCATCTCTGGGCCACAATGGAAGAAGAGTTGTCTTGGCCACACATTAAATACTTTGCAACATGTAACCACTTCATCATGTTTTAAGTAGATTTATGATTTTGTGTTGGGCCGCATTCATAGCCATCCTAAGCCACATGTGGCCTGCGGGCCACAGGTTGGACACTCCTGCAGCTATGTCAAATGACAAAGGAAATACAGGATCTGGCACAAATAACACCTCATTTTTATGAGCTGGTAATTTATACCAAATCTTTTATAACAAAATCATAAGCACATAATTCTGTAACATAACACTATCACACTCAAGCACACCATATGACATTTTAGGTGAAATGTTCAAATTGCTGTCCATCTCGTGCGAGACACTGACGTACCCTACCCACCACACTCAATGGCGTTACTTCTGCCGGACCCTGTATGTGTACTTACAATGCGAGTGCCACACAAAGGATCAAAGGGCCCCATAAATCCCCTACAAGGCAAGAAAAGGCAGAAGATTGTTAAGAAACGACCATGCAGTATTTTCTATCTTTATTCCAATATCTACCTCACCCACTCTTGGAATTCAGACATGAAGGCTCTGTCTGTCTATATACCACCCCTACCTTGAACTTCACATATACATTAACTTTACCTAAGAGAAGCATGCATATGTACATACTTATACTGTTTAATTATATAAGTGATTTTGACACCGCTGTGCATTTTGGAAAAGATGTAAAAGTCTGTTGGCCCAAGCCTTCCCTCCTCTCCTACCCCCCTTTACTTGCTGTCTCTGCTCCCCAAGTCTGACCGTCCTTCTTTGTACATCCTTTAAGTTTTGTTCACTTCATATTCCACAAATCACCCCTCTCCTCACCCACTAAGCCACACTCCAGCAGGCTATAGTTAAACACCAATGGACGAGGAGTGCCCCATCCTGCACCCTCAGAGAGAGGACTGCCGTCAAGTCCCTTCACCAATCTGAGACTACGTTAGACTAGGCAAGTATATTCAGGCCCATCTCATGAAGATAAAAAGTAAGGCTGAGAGGGAAGTCACTTTCCCAAGTTTATTTCAACAGTTAGGTATAGACACGGGACCAGAACCAAGGTCTTTGAATTCCTACTGCAAACGTCCCCCCACCCTGCCACACTGCTTCCTCTGTCTCATTCTTACGTTGAACTAGAACGGAATGCTGTTCTTACAGATGAAAAATCATCCCAGTACTGGTAGTTTCATAAGGTTAAACTTGAACAAGTAACAAGAAAGCTTTTTGAAAATTATAAAAGGCTCTGCCAACGTCAGGTCTAACCATCAGGGTTCTCAGTCCATAGTGATTGGATGATTAATATGCCAACAGTTGACAGGAATATACAGCTCAGAGCACAGTTACCTTCCTCAACTAATATGAAAAAAGGGTACATATACCACCTCTACCTTGAACTTCACATATACATTAACTTTACCTAAGAGAATAAGAGAAGCATGCATATGTACATACTTATACTGTTTAATTATATAAGTGATTTTGACACCGCTGTGAATTTTGGAAAAGATGTAAAAGAAATTATAATCCTAAAACTCTAATAAAACTGTTCTTTTCGTTAAAATTTTCTAACTTATCAAATGAAAAACTGAATTCAAGTACAACTGACACTAATGCACTCATGTTTTTAATGCACTGAAAAGTTTCTAAGAAATAAAAAATCTGTAACAGTATTTTAAAACTAAAATTCACCATTTTAGTCACTTTTAAGGGTACAGGTATTGAGCACACTTATTGCTGCACAACAATCCCCACCATCCGTCTCCAGAACTTTCTCATCTCCCCAAAATGAAACTCCAATCCAGTCAACAGTAACTGCCCACTCTCCCTCGGCCCCTGGCAACTATCACTTTACCTTCCTTCTCTGTCAGCTTCACTGCTCCAGGTACCTCATATGAGTGAAATCATTGAATACATGTACTTTTCTGTCTGGCATATTTCACATAGCATGATGCCTTCAAGGCTATCCACGTTGTAGCATGTGTCAGAATTGCACTCCTTTTAAGGCTCAGTAATAGTCTATGCATAAATGGTATGTATCATGGTGTGTATACCCCATTTTGTCTATCCATCCATCCATCCATGGATGTCTAAGACGTTTCCACCTTTTGGCTACCGTGAACAGTGCTGCTGTGAATATGAGTGTACAAATATCTGTTCGAGTCCCTGCTTTCAACTCTTTTGGGCATACACTCAGAAGTGCAATTGCTGGCATTATTCTATGCTCAATTTTTCGATGAACCATCATACTGTTTTCCATAGTGGCTGCGCTATTTTATACTCCCACCAGCAACAAACAGGGGTTCCAATTTCTCCACATCATCAAAAACACTTGTTATTTTCTGTTTCTTTGACTGATTGGTAACAGCCATCCTAATGGGTGTGAAGTGGTATCTCATCGTGTTGTTGGGTTTTTTTTTTTCAGATTATTTTTTTTTAAGTTGTGAATTTTTTCCTTGCCATTTTCCCAAAGGCTATGATAACAGGGCAGGGCCGAAGTGCAAATTCTGTCCATGACTGGCTCAGCCTTTGTGCCAGCCCATCTATCCACTCCATCAAGGTTTGAGAATGGACCTTAACATATGACATAAGCTAATATTCGTCATTAATCAGCAAACTAACACACTGGTTCTGTGCTGGGAGAAGCAACCTTGCTTTGAACTGAACCACAGCAGCTGTTAAAAGAATCTTCCCATCTGGGGTAGCAGTGGTATACTGGAAAGGGCACTGCACTTGAAAACTAGGCTCTAATCCTGCCTGTGTGATCTTGATAAGGTGCTCAGCTTCTCTGAGACTCATTTTCCTAATAAGTCCTCCTTCAAAAGGTTGTCGTAAGGATTAAAAAAAATATTGTGTTGAAGGAACAGAAAGGCACTAGGTTGACAGCTGTCACGTATGAAGTACCTACTAAGTGCCAGATACTGTAGAGGGTGGTTGATACGCATTATGATCTCTAACCCTTACCATTAGGTACATGTTATTATCTCCACTTTAACAGAGGAAGAAACTTGAGCCTCGGAAAAGTTAGCTGTCTTATCCAACATCACACAGCTGGTGGTGCAACCATGATTTAAGCCCAGATATGTCCATGTTCTTTCCACTATGTACCAGTGGTAGCAAATCATCTGTCAGCTCCGGCCCACAGTGTACTATGTTGAAAATAATTCTGACGCCACATCCAGTCTTAACTCAGGGTGATGGCACCTTTGCCACACATTTGACATCCCTATATTATAACTGAAATGCTGGCAAAATAAAAGGTTACACCCATGTACATAACTGTTGCTATTCTCAGGCAACTAGTTCAAGTTTTGTGATAGTACTAAGAAAACCAAGAATAATTGAAAAGAAAAAGGACTTAACAATTTTAAGAATTCTAAATAAGAGCATGATTTACTGCAAACACTGTCGATAGAAATCTTGAACAAAGAAAGCAGTCACCAAAATAAGAGATAGTCCTAGAAATAGTAACATCAATAAAGGTACTATTTGTTAATCCTTAATTAGCCATTATTATAATTTAACAATTGAACATTTTGCCTTTCTCTTAGGAATTTTTAGCTCTTTGGCTGAACAAAGTCTCTGTGTGTTCACAGCTTCCAGAAATATTATTTACAGTGTCTATTATAGCAGGTGAGGATACATTCTATATTTATCAATGAGGACAATATATTAAGCAAAATCTTGTAACCTCTGAAATGCCATTCGAAAATTTTAACTTCTTCCAAAGTTTTTACTTATATATTCATTTGTGTATTTTTTCATCCTGTAAAATGATGCCAGTTTTATTACCACAGAGCCTGTGCTTCATGAAGTACTTACGATAACATACAATGAGAAGCAGCAAACCCTCAAACACCTCATATACTTACAATCTCTCAAAAGAGTATTGCTTTTCCTTGGGTACAAAACATGCATGAATTTTTTCCCAACAGCTTTTAGATCACGCATCTGAAAGACATAAACAACTATTGTATCGTGAGAACCAAGGTTGCCAGGCAGCCCCCTAACTTAATTTGCTAAGATTTCTTTTATTTCAATCTCCTGGGAGTCCTTTGTTGAATTTTAGAGGTAAATTCGAGTTCAACCCCTTCACTATACAAACTAGAAAGGCAGGTTTTTTTTTTTTCTATTAACTCCTTAAGCCATCATTACTACCACACCCACCAATCCTGTTTTGATTTCTAAAACTCCATAAAAGAGAAAACATAACCCTCCCAATATGTAACTTATAAAAACTAAAATCTTTTCTGTAAAACATAGCATCGGACTTTCAGTTTATACATGATAACATCCCAAGGACCAATAAGCCTGCTCCCTAGCCGCTATATTCTTCACAATATATAAAATTAACTTTCAACATTCCCAATTTAACTGGCCAATAAATACTAGAAGCCAGATTAACTAATAATCAAGATATTTGAAGAAGGGTATGGTAATATAACCTCTCAAAATATAGTTGAGATAACTCTATCCTAATTTTTCACCTAGAAATTTCTTCATGTGACTAATACTTTGTAAACATGATTTTTAAAAAGATTTTATTTATTTGTTTTTAGAAAGAGGGAAAAAGAGAGGGAGAGGAACATCAATTGGTTGCCTCTAACACAACCCCAACCGAGGTCCTGGCCTGCAACCCAGGTATGTGCCCTGAACGGGAATTGAACCAGCAACCTTTCAGTTTGCAGGACAATGCCCAACCCATTGAGCCTCACCAGTCAGGGCCACACCAGTCAGGGCATAAACATGATTTTTAATGGTTGTTTAGTATTCTACCATACAGATGTAACATAATTTACTTAACCTGGTTTTCAACTTCCCCTATTATAAAGAATGGTGTAATGAACATCTCTGCATATAAATATTTTTCGGTAGTATAAAAAATATTGTCTTTAGTTTTTTTCCTTATACTACATCTGGAGAAGCAGAACTATCAGCTTAAAAAGATTTGGAAATTTTAAAATTCTTAATACCCATTTTATAGTCAAACTGATTTCCAAAAAGGCTGTACCAAATTATTCTCAGGAAAGAACCTGAAAATCCATTAACCAAACAAAAATATTACACAGTGCTATTGTTTAGTTCCCTGATGTTGAACAGAAATTCTCTCAACTAGTCTAACTTACGATGGTATTCTGAACAGATTCATTTAATGTAGAGCTGTCAAATTCCCGCATGCGAGACCTCATAGGAATGGTGATTTCTCCTTCCACAGGGATGTCTTGTGAGATGGATATATCTGAAAGGCCTGCAAACTGAGAAGAGGTGAAAAAAAAACATTTAAAGCCTGTAATTAACTGTGGCATTCCTCAAAGAAATCATCATTTCCTAGAGAGTGGAAACTATGCTTCTTTGTAGGGTGTTTTACAGTTTGTGAAGTAAAAGCTCACTAGATAAACAATGCAGTTAACTAAAAACACTCAAATGCTTATTTCTTTCCATTTAAAGGACATGGCACATGATGGAAAAAATCATCGCGCAAATAATGAAGACACATCTTGCCTTCAAATATTTGGTTTATTCCAGCATGAAATCTTCATGCGACACAAGCTAGCAAGGCTGCAGGGCTATTTGTGCCCTTTTAGCAATCATATCCTACTTAGCATGGCCACAATGCTGCTGCACTTCTGCTCCTTAGCAGCCTCTGCTGGCTGAAATGGAGCATCATGTGAAGCCTAAAGCAAAGGTGGGAAGAACAAGGAAACAGCAAAATACATCTTGATCTACACTCTTTAACCAGGTTACCTGGCAGTCACAGATCAAATAACATTTCCCAAGTGAACTGCGAGATTGCAAACCTTTCAACTCTTATATTAACCTGCCAAATTTGATGATGGTGACTGAAGCTCTATAATCTTCAAATCCCCAAGAAAACAGAAACAATCCCTTCTCATGTTTTTTTTTTTTTTTTGGCTCAATGGGCCCAATATTTCATGGGCAACAGCTGTAGGTAAGTGAAATACAAGACAGTATACTGAAATTTTAAGAATAAGGTTGTTCAAAGAACTTATAAAAATCAACTTCTTAATCACACTCTTAAGAGAAATGCAAATTAAACTTTTTGAAATAAAAATCTTTACCTGTTAGACTGGTAAAAATCCTAAAGTCTCACAACACATTCTGCTGTTGAAACTAAGGGAAAGAATGCTCACACACTTCTATGGGGATACAAAACGGTACTGCGTTCTACTGAAGATGAATCTGGCAGTATCTAGCAAATGTACATGAATCACTGGTTAACTCAACAATGCCACTGTTAGGAGTCTAAAATACAAAAAGACATATATGAGACTCTTCATTACAGCACTCTCTGTAAAAGCAAAAACCTGAGAATAACCCAAAAGCTCATCAACAAAGGACAAGTGGAACAAAGTATGGTATGTCCACATAAAGGAGAATATCTTTAAAGAACTATTGTGAAATGTTGTATTTTTAAAAAATGGAGCCCTGGCTACATGGCTCAGTTAGTTGTGGCTCATCCCCTACACCAAAAGGTGGTGGGTTTGATCCTGGTCAGGGCACATGCCTGAGTTTTGAGTTCAATCCCCAGCCGGGGCACATACAGGAGGCAACCAACTGATGTTTCTCTCTCACATCCATCTTTCTCCCTCTCCTCCCCTCCCATCTCTCTAAACATCAATAAACATATCCTCAGGTGAGGAATAAAAAATTAATAAAATAAAATAATGTAGAGAAAAGTTTGTAGATGTGCTATCATTTCTCTAACAAAATATTTATACACATCTGAGTATTATCTTTTAAATGTAAGAAATGTATAAAATTGTATATAATATAACTTGAGTTACAATTTTTTAAAAAGGAGGCTGCCTCCTGAAGAAAGGAGAAAAAAAAAGTGGATGAGACAGGGAGTATCAAGGCTTCTCTGAATACACACCGTTCTGTATATATGACTTGAAATCATACAAATAGTTCACACAGTTATGAAATGAAATTAAAATTTAAAAGCACTCCCTAAAAATGGAAAGACAAATGAACCCACTGTATGTTGAATTAAATACACAACCACACAGAAAGCAACTATTTCAAGCACCGTGATAACACTGTAATGTGAATTCTCATTAGGATGTAGAAAGCTGGAAAGGGCATCCATCCTACCAGAACACTGAGGAAAAAAACAAGATAAGCAACAAAACAATAACTTTCCTTGAACCCATTAGACAGCTGAGGTTGTAGGGCTACCAAGTAGCCTGAATGAAATCTAAGGAAAGACAGGTGCTTCCAAGAAGAGTTGGGACATGAACACTAACTCGTCTGCAGCAGAGCATGAGAAGAGAGCAACACTGGGCATCACAGACACAGTTAAGACTTCATCTAAAACTTAAACTGCATTGCTAAAAGCCAAGTGTAGACCAGTATGAGAGTACAGAGCTCCAGGAAGCATCAGACAAAAGAGGAGTTCACACCCATTTGCAGGCTCTTCTCCAACAGGTTTCCAGTGATCCGAGAAAAAGCACAGAGCCCCACTCTGATCCTTCTCTGCTACAAAAAAAGAGCCTTAAAGCTGCTGGGGGGAGATCAGCAAGTCCTGCTGTCTTCAGGGCACAGGTCAAGACCCCTTACAGCTGGGGGCAGGGGGAAGAGTAGAAAACCATCCTGAGGCCAGACGATCAGAGTCTCCTTCAGCCGGCATTGCTTTCAAAGTCCCACCCAGGAGACCCAAGGACACACAGTCTACCAAAGGCGGAGGCTGGACCAAGACAACAAAGAATCCCCTGTCCTGGGTCCCCACAACCAGGCTAGCAAGTATGGAGTCATAAGCAACAGCAGTCTACTGCTAGGGGAGGGGCTAGAACTTAAGGAGAGACTCATTATTTTATGCAAGAACAAAGGGAACACAGAAAGCTGAGCATGGAACAGGGACATTAAGTCCTGGGACAACCTAGCACCCACCCTAAGCACAAGGTAAGAGGGGAGGAATTTGAAGCTGGTGATGCACTGAAGGTTCCCATATGCAGGACAAAACCCAAACAAGTTCAACTCATGACTAGACTGACTAGTAACAATATAGCAGAAAACTTTTACCATTTCCAGGATGTCTCTACTGATCTAGACATGATGGCCAGCATTCAATAAAAAATTACCCCCCAGCAAAACATACAGTCCCATGTATATACACACATGAAAAAAGTAACAACCCACTGTGACAAGACACCAATCAATAAAACCAGACTCTGAGATGACCCAAATGTTATAATTCACAGAAAAAATACTTTAAGGTAACTATAATTAATATGTTAAAAGCACTAGTAAAAAGGTGTATGCACAAATTACGATGGATTTCTGCAGAGATGGAAACTGGAAGGGTCAAATGGTAATGATAGAAATGAATGAACAGAATTACAGATGAAGAATGTGTTCAATGGCCTTTATCAGTAGACACAACACAGACAAAGAAAGAAATCAGTGACAGGTTAGTTGAAATTATGCAAATGACAACAAAAACAAGAATTTAAATAGAAATAAACATATAAAAATAGATACTACATAAATACATAAATATATGGTATATATTTTTATTGGTTTTATTATATTTAAATATACAAAATCATTATGTTGTACACCTTAAATCTAAACAATGCTATATGTCAATTCTAGCTTAATAAAACTGGGGAGGGGGGAAACAAAGCATCCAAGAGCTGTGGGTCAACATTAACTGGTCTGGTATCTAATATATATATAATTGGAATCCCAGGAGAGAGAGAGAATGGGTCTGAAAAAATATTTGAAAATATAACATAAAAATAATGGAAGACAGCAAATAACAGATCCAGGTCCAGAGAACCCCAATCAAGATAAATACCTATGCCCTGGCTGGTGTAGCTCAGTGGATTAAGCGCGGGCTGCGAACCAAAGTGTCGCAGGTTCGATTCCCAGCCAGGGTACATGCCTGGGTTGCAGGCCATAACCCCCAGCAACCGCACATTGATGTTTCTCTCTCTCTCTCTCTATCTCCCTCCCTTCCCTCTCTAAAAATAAAGAAATAAAATATTAAAAAAAAGATAAATACCTAAAGGCAAAACAAAACCAAAAAACCATGAACCTAGTGGTTCTCAATCAAAGATAAAGAGGAAAATCTTCAAAGCAGCCAAAGGGAAAAGAAACCACATTGCATTCAGAGGAACAACGATTAGTAACACACATCACACCCAAAACTACACAAGCCAGAACACAATAGACACACTTGTAGAGTGCTTAAAGAATAAAATTGTCAACCCAGAATTCCAAACCCAGCAAAAATAGCTATGAATAATGAAGGCAAAATAAAGACTATTTTTCAGACGAGCCAGAGCTGAGACATTCATTACAAAAAATGTTAAAGGAAGTTCTTCAGGAAATGAGATTCATCAGAAGTGGTGATAATGAATGAAGGTAAATATCAAAACATTTTTCTTCTTATTAATTGTCCTAAAAATGGCTGCCTAAAGTATGAGTTACCAGACTTTTTCTGTAACGGGCCCAAATATCAAATAGTAAATATTTTAGGCCTAGAAAGCCATATAGTTTCTGTTGCAATTACTCAACACTACTGCTACAGCGTGAAAGCAGACAAAGATAATACATAAGCAAACATGGTTGTGTTCCAATAGCCCTTATTTATAAAGATAGGCAGTGGGCCATATTTCAAATGATAAAAATATAACATTTAGGAGATAACTGGAAATCTGAACACTGGCAATGTTCAAAATGGCAATGTGTCAATATATTTGATATTGGGGAATTGTTAATTTTTAGACGTACTAATGATATTGTGCTTATGTTCTTTAAAAACAGAATCCTTATCTTTGAGCGATACACATTAAATGTTTACTAATGTAATGATGCCTGGGGTTTGCATCAGAAGAGTATAGAAGGGAAGTGGGTAAGGTATAGAAGAAAGAAGATTGCCATAAATTGATCATTATTGAAGGCAGGTACATGAGGGCCCATTTTACCATTCTACTTTTATGTATGTTTGAAATTCGTTCTAAAAAACCCTAAACATTCCTATTTTAGGGGTCGTCCAAGTTTTTTATTCTTCCCTCATTCCTCCAAGCCAGAATGAACCTAAATATAACAAAGCCTCTAGATCTTAGAGTATACAGGAAATATGTGGAGAGACAAATATACTAAAAATACCACAAGGATACAATCGACAAGATACAGAAAGTAGAATTCTGCAAGACAAATGAGTGAACTTCAACAAAAAAAAAGTATTAGAAAGAGAAGAACAGATGTATTAGAAGAGACTTAACAG